TTTTCACTGGATAGAGTATTCTTGGCTGAAAGTTTTTGTCTTTCAGAATTTTGAATATATCATTCCAATCTCTCCTAGCCTGTAAGGTTTCTGCTGAGAAATCCGCTGCAAGCCTGATAGGGGTTGCTTTGTAAGTTATTTTCTTCTGCCTTGCTGCCCCTAATATTTTTTCTTTGTCATTGTCTTTTACCAGTTTTACTACTATATCCCTTGGAGAAGGTCTTTTTACATTGCTATAGTTAGGAGTTCTATTAGCTTCTTTTACTTGTATTTCCAGCTCCTTCCCCAGGTTTGGGAAGTTCTCAGCTATTATTTCTTTGAACAAGCTTTCTGCTCCTTTCTCCCTTTTTTCTCCCTCTGGAATACCTGTAATCCTTATGTTGCATTTCCTAAGTGAGTCAGATATTTCTTGGAGAATTTCTTTATTTCTTTTTAGTCTTAGTTCTCCTCCTCCATCTGAAGCTTTTCTGTATTTCTGTCCTCCAGATTGGTAATTCTGTCCTCCATAATATCAGCTCTGTTATTCAGAGATTTCAGATTTTTCTTTATCATCCATTGTGTTTTTCATCTCCAACATTTCTGATTGGTTTTTTGTTATAGTTTCAATTTCTTTTGTGAAGAATTCCCTCTGTTCATTAATTTTGTTCCTGATTTCATTGAACTCTCTATCTGAATTTTCTTGTAACTAATTGAGTTTTTTTATGATAGCTATTTTGAATTCTCTGTCATTTGGATTGTAAATTTCTGTGCCTTCAGGATTGATTTCTGGGTGCTTGTCATTTTCTTTCTAGCCTGGAGTATTAATATATTTCTTCATACTATTTGATGGTGTGGATTTATGCCTTCGTGTAGTGATAGTATCTGGTCACAGATTCCACCTGCCGCCACTGGGGGGGTGTGGTCAGGAACTGTGTATTCTGAGCCTGCCACAATCCCTGGCGTCTATGCCTGTCCTTTGCAATCTATGCTTACAGGGCCCATCTGCAATTGCTGGCTCACTTTCTTGCAGCTGCTGCTTTTCTAACGTATGCACGGGCACTCTGGCTGACCGGCTGAGCTGGAGCGCCAGGAAGGGGGAGAGGTGCTTTCTTTCACCTGCGTGATCCCTGGGGCATTCTCCCTCTGCCCTCGCTATCTGCTCTCTTGGGGTGCTGGCTTAATGAAGACACCCCCGCAATAGCTTAGCCTTCTCTATGTGGAACTTTCCCATGGGCTGTGAGGGAACTTGGAGAACAAAGGTGTTCCCCCAGAGAGCTGCCACTCCCCCCTCTTTACTCAGAGCTGCATGCAGTCCTGTGCCCTGGGGCACTGCTGGGGAGGGAGAGAAGCTCTCCTTACCTCCTTCCACTTCCCCCTGGGGGGCCCAGCACCTCCACCTTCAGACCTATGGCTGCGTGGGTCTCTCAGATGTCTTTTGTGTTGTGTGAATGTCCTCTGTTGGTTTATGAATGTCCATTTTGTTGTATTTTAGGGGGGAGAGTCTAAGGGAAGAGCTCACTCCCCCATGATGCTGATGTCACTCCACCAGTAATACATTCTCAATATAAAAAAATTCAAAAAGCACAATAAGATTTATAATAAAAAGTTCCAACCCATCTCATCCCTCAACCAATAAGTTCCCCTCTACACACTCATTCTCTGTTACTAGTTCCTTGTGTGTCCTTTCAGAGATATTTTATGTACATACCACCATTACTATATATCTCTTTTTTGTTTTTCTCTCAACTTTTTTTTTTTTTTTAACATACAAATTAATTTCTTAGAGCATTAGTTTTTAGTGGCTTAGAAGAACACAAACTTATTTTCTTACACTTCTGGAAGTCAGAAGTCTGAAAGGGGTCTCACTGGCTAAAATCAAAGCTACTCAAAATTAGCATGGCTACATTCCTTCTGGAAGCTCTGGGGGAGAATCAGTGTTTCTGCCTTTATCCTCCTCTAGAGACTGCTTGAGTTCCTTGGCTCATGGTCTCTTCCTCCATTTTCACAGCCAGCAATTGCTGGTTGAGTCTTCCTCACATTGCATCACTCTGACACTGGCTCTTCTGCCTCCCTCTTTTAGTTGTAAGGACCTTGTGATTAAATTGGGCCCACCTGCATGATCCAGGCTCCTCTTCACCACTTCAAAGTCAGCTGATTAGCAACCTTAATTCCACCTGCAACTTTAATTCTCCCTTGCTGTGTAACATAACATAGTCACAGTTTCCAGGGATTAGGAGGTAGACATCTTTGGGAGCCATTATTCTTCCTACTACAATACCTATACATATTGTTCTCCACCTTGTGTTTTTTTCAGTGAACATCTCTTTGAGATTACTCTATATCGGTACATATAGATTTGCCTCATTCTTTTTAATGGCTACATGATGTTCCATTGCATGGGTATGCCACAGTTTTTTTAGTGAATCCACTGTTGATGGATATTCGGGTTATTTTCACTCTTTTGCTATTACAAACAATGCTGCAGTAAATATCCTTGTATCAAATGTGTCATTTCCCACATATAAGCATATCTGTCTATGGGATAAATTTATGAAAGTGGAATTTCTGGGTCAAAGAGTAGATGTATTTTTTTTTAAGTTTTTCTTTTTTAATCCTTATTGAGATATAATTTGCATATAATGCAATTCACTCATTTAAAGCATATAACTCAGTGGGTTTTAGTATATTCAGAGTTGTGTAACCATCACCACAATCAATATTAGAATATTTTTATCACCACAGAAAGATGTAAAAAAAAGGGAAAATTGAGGGGAAGGGGAGGAAACAGAGGAGAACTCTGTACTTTTTTTTTGTTTGTGAGGAAGGTCAGCCCTGAGCTAACATCCATGCCAATCCTCCTCTTTTTGCCGAGGAAGACTGGCCCTGAGCTAACATCCATGCCGACCTTCCTCCACTTTATGTGGGACGCCGCCATTGCATGGCCTGACAAGTGGTGCGTCAGTGCGTGTCCGGGATCTGAACCTGGGCCACCAGCAGCGGAGCACACGCACTTAACTGCTACGCCACAGGGCCGGCCCCGAGAACTCTGTACTTTTCACTCAATTTTTTCTGTAAACCTAAAACTGCTCCCCCAAAAAATCTTAATTAAAAAGATTGCAACTGGCCAGCCCCGTGGCTTAGTGATTAAGTGCACGCACTCCGCTGCTGGCGGCCCGGGTTCGGATCCTGGGCGTGCACCGCTTCTCCAGCCATGCTGAGGCTGCGTCCCACATACAGCAACTAGAAAGATGTGCAGCTATGACATACAACTATCTACTAGGGCTTTGGGGGGAAAAGTAAAAAAAAAAAAAGATTGCAACTAATTTTGCCTTTCTTTTGGCCCTATTTTCAGAATTACAGCCTACCTAAAATATAATATCCTAGATCGTAGGTAATTGGAGCCTTCTTAAATTCTAAAGATATATGCAGTTGTGGCTAAGGATAAGGTAGCAGTTTCACCCATTAACAGGGCAAGGAGAACTTTTTACTTCAAATGGTTTTAAATTCTGGAGGTATGGTGTTTTATAATTAATTTGTTAGTTGCCCTTATAAAAATTTTTAATGCAGTGTGTTTAGTTGAAAGGTGCTGCAGACACATCCAATAGACACCATTGACTAACATTTAGTTTTTTTCTGGTAACACGCATGATTACTGTTTCTGAGCGTCTTTTGGTGTACCTCAAAAACTTCATATTTAACAGCCAAATCAGGCACATATTTTATCATGAGGATATACTATGATTTAATTATTTTCCCATTGTTGGACATTTCTGTTATACCTAATAATTAATGTGCCTTCTAAAAATGCCTAACTTAAATATTAAAAAAATGGTGGCCATGTACTTTCATCTAAGTCTGAAGGGTCTGTGACTCTATTGCATATGCTAAATAGAGTCATGTGTTGTGAGTAGGAGAGAGTGTGGGGCTAGTGGATCCCACAGCTGACTCTCTCCTTTCTTGATTCTGTAGCCTGATATACAGAGTGGTTGCTAAGTTCACGCATGTTAGTTAGAAGTTATTTTTATAGGCCCCTCCATCCTCTAATCAAATTATACTTTTTCATATACTTTTCGTATACTTTTTTCGTATACTTTTCATTATACTCAATGTCTCATCGGCAGTTTCTGATAGTCATTTTTAGGTTTTTAATTGTTGTTATGTGGAGTTAATAGACAAATAATTAACAGAAGACACAATCTCATGCATAGGAAATTTGCAGCCATGTGGTAGGCACTTAAATGTTTAATGAATGAACAAAAATTAGGGAGGTAAGATTATAGATAACTATTTTCACTGTTTTTCACCTTTTTCTCATTGTTATATTAGAATATGACATAATTTGGACCTGGATTCAAGTGTATTAGTCTGAGTTAACTCACATATTTTAATGCTTAATTAAGAGAATATCTGGTCTGCCAAAAAGTACTTGATAGATATGGGAGTTGTGTATATTTGTACATGCTCCATAAATCTATGAATACTAATTCAGGAGTTTGCTTAGTCACTCATATAAATGTTGCTGAGTCACCTCATAATCTGAAGGTGAATATGCTTAAATGTGTAATTTAAAACTGTAAATTGTTATAGAGAATGGGGCTTCAGGTGGAGAAAACAATTAAGTTGTACAAAATATAGAAGTTTTTAATATAGCTTTGGCTTTGCATACATTTTACTTATTTATGGGGCTAGGATTGGAGAGGATATCTTATGTAAATTCCTGCTTTAAAATACCTGCTTCTTACCAGTTTTTTTTCTTCCTATATACTTTCTCGTGCTTCTGAGGTTCAGACTATGCTATATGTTTACTAATTACTACTTACATCATATATAGCATGTTTTTATATATATATATAATGTACCTGCCACATCATAATACTTGTTCTCAATTTTTAAAATCTTGTATTTTTCCCAAAAATTTAGTTACTTTATTTCTCAATATATGCTGTCCCCTTGTTTGTTAAAAAAATTTTTACTCCATAAAAAACAATCTATCCTTTTTAATCTAAATGCTGTTATTTTAGGATCTTGGAGTGAAAATATACTGGAATATTTTCTGAGAAATAACCAGATCACAACAGAAGATGGCGCCCAGATCACCTGGTACCATGCAGCTAACCACAAGGCACAAGTGAAGGCAGCACTGAAAAGTAAGTCAGATTTACATTGGATGGGAGATGAATTCACCTCTTGATATCTGGGCATATTTGCAGGTATCAGAGACGTAGATGACTCAAATGTAAATTCTAGGCTGACAAAACATTTTTATAAAAGATCCCATTTTGTTTATAAAATGAACAAATTTCCATAATTGGGGAATTTTCCTATTTTTCAGAAGTGATTTGCCTTTTCTATGTCCTATTTGAAACTCTCATATGTTATTACACTTGCTTATATATTGTAGTGATTTGAGTAAAATTTCTAAGATCAGGGTCATATGTGTTACATATTTTTGTGTCTTTCACAGTGTACTAAGGACAGGCTCAGTAAACATTAGTTGAATGGGTGGATGAAGCCACTGTACACTAATATATAGTTAATTGCCTTGGGCAGTATTTACGCCTAGGCTAGAAACCGAGCCTTCTGATTTACTAACTCAGTGTATAGCCGTATATATCCCCTTCGTTATGTAGATGAACTTGGCAGGTTCTCAGCTGTTTGCTATGAAGTACCCCTTTTGGCTGCAGCAGCAGAGGAGGATGAAAGCCTGTCACCAGAGGGCTGGGGCATAGCTTGAAGTGATCTGGTCCAACAAGGAAAATTCCTTAAGTCCTATGTTTTACTGTAAAAATTTATGCATTTTTTGCGTCCTACTCAATTATGTATCTGGATAATGTATCTGAATAATATATCTGAGTATGTATTTCTTTTATTGTAAGAATATTGTTTTAAATTGCTTTTCTTTGCTCCTCAAAGGGAGGAACTTTGTCTTGTTTAATATTGAATCCCTAGTACCTACAACAGTGCCTAGCACATAACAACCACACAGTGATTATTTAATAAATGAATTTTAGCAAAAGCAACGCTTCAGGAAAAAGTTAGTTAGTGATTCCCAGGAGCCGGTGGGAGTAGGAAATAGGGAGTGAATGCTAATGGGTACAGGGTTTTTTTTTGGGATGATGAAATTTTTCTGGAATTAGCTAGTGGTGATGGTTGCACGATCTTCTGAATATTCTAAAAACCACAGGTATACTTCAAAAGGATGAATTTTATAGTATGTGAATTAAATATCAATTTTTAAAAAAGGGAAAAAGGATAGGAAGAAATAAAACTATTATTTACAGACAGTATGATTGTGTATATAGAAAATGAAAAAGATTCTGTGCATAAATGATTGTAATTCATAGGTAAATTTAGAAAATCTCAGGATACAAAGTCAATACTGAAAATAAATTCTATTTCTATGTAACAACCAATATAAAAATTTGAAAAAATCTTAAAAATTTACCATTTGTGATAGTATATGCAGAAATCTCGTACCTGGAAATAATCTAATTAAATATGGATACTTTACTTTTAAGATTGTTTTAAAAATTACTAATGGAAAATCATTTCCAATTGCTGGCAGTCTGGTGTTGATCTGAGAAGTTTTCATAGGTTACTTAGTCTTCAGATACCATCCTCTTTACTTTCTGTTGGGCAACCAGAGCCCCAAGTTTTATAGTTTGGAAATGCTGTTCATCAAGTCCCTTTCCTCAGCCTTGGCTGGTCTTGCAATTTCTTTCTAGTCCAAAGGAAAGAAAACAGGTTCCTGGAGACGTGAAGGCTATATTTCAGTGATTTATCTCATTTCTCCCAAAATATTTGAGTTCAGTACAACTATTATTAATAGAGCTGTTTCTATTTTGATTAACATGTGAAACTGGATTTTAGCAATGTCTATGATTTAAAAAAAAAAAAAAAAACAAAGCCCAGGAGGAACAGTGTAAGAGCACCCCTTGGTGTTCCATTGTCAACACATCCAAATCTGAGAATAGTCAAAATTGTTCATAGGAGTTATTACATGTAATGTAATTTTATGTTATAACATTTCTGCATTTAGATTTTTAAAAACATGTATATTAAAAGATATGCTGGTTCAAAAAGTCGAAAACATTGTGTTTTTGAGAATAAAAAATGTATTTTAAAAAAGCCTCTGTAACATCTTGAGGAAAAGAGTGACTATAGTCATTGAGTAAAGGTATTAATAGAACTATACTAAATGTAGCACATAAACAGTATAGGCAAAATAGATGTTTAACTTCATTTCTATACACATACTTATTTGAGTTTTGATTTGAGTGTCAATAGTAACTATTTGGGATTTTCTTCTGTTTTCTTTTGAAAACAAAGCTGTACAATTATTTGGCCTTTGGATAGATAGATAATATAGTTGAACCAAGATTGGCAACAGATGTTAGCTCAGGGCCAGTCTTCCTCACAAAAAAAAGAAAGAAAGAAAGAAAATTAAACAGAAGCTTGACCTACTGCATCTCAAATATGGCAGTAGAAAATTGAGTTGGAGATACCATGGGCCCACAACCCATTCCCCCAATTTCTCATCCTGGGAAAGTAATGAAAGAGATTAGATCATCCATCTTTCTGCTAATTCAGTTGCCTTGTTGTCCCAACAGAGGTTTGTCCATAGGCTGAAAGAAAGACTTCTCTGCATCTGCGCCCCATTGCCCAGTGAACCACATAAGCATCTTTAACCATATGAGCAATCCCACCTTTGGCGGGGGGCTGGAAGCTGTTTTGATAGTACCTGGATATTGCTTAGAATTGCATTTGTAGAGCATAAAGGGGGTACAAAACTGTGATTGGCTTTGGTCTCTCGTTCTGTACTTTACCTCATTATGAGCAAAAGAACCTAAACATGGTAGAGCTTAGGGAAAAGAGATATAATAACAAACACCGTTGGGTGCTTACCCCGTCACCATCTCCCTTTTCTTCCTTCCTAAAAGAACTTGGGTTTTATTAAGGTATCCATCGCTGCTCCATACAACCACATGGAAGCTAACTCCATCTCTAGCCCCAGGGGTGGGTTAGAATAAGGGAATCAGCACTTGGAGTTGCCTTGATGATTCATATTGTTCCCATGGTGAGCAAGTGATCTAACCTGGCTCAATCAGACCCAGGGAGAGTACTTATATCCATAATTATTGAAGAAGAGTTCTGTCTTAAAACTGAACTATGTGGATGTGAAAGTATGTAGCCCCAGTGGTCTTGGTAGCCGCCTTACAGTCATGGTAGAGATCAGCCTTAAGATGAAGACAATACCAGGGACGGTAAAGAAGAGCCATGAAGACTCTGATAACATCACTGAGCTGCCGATTATGCCACACCTGGAGCCCACCCTCTCTCTGAACTTGCAGTTACATGAGATGATACGTTTCTTTATTAGCTTGAATCTGAGTTTCTGTTAACTTGCAGCCAGAAGCATCCAGTAGATATATGGGGCAGCCTTGATTTGGCAAATCATTTTCCCTGCTTCCACCTTTGCTCCTGTCCAGTTCGTTTTCCACCCAGCATCCAAAATGGTGTTTTTAAACATAAATCAGGCCTTTTTTGCTCAAAACCCCTTAATGGTTTTCCATTTAAAATACTTAGTATAACTGTTAGATGGGAACTCTTTTAGTTCCAGCACTCTGGTTTCCAGCAGGGGAGATTTTTCCCTAAATGCTTTGGCCACTTGCCTCACTGGTTATCCTCTCACAGAGGTAAAGAGAATTTTTTGGTTTGTGGATTTTGACTGGGTGGACCTGATCTGTCAAAGGTGCTGGGCCAAGGAGAGTGCTCCTCTCTGCTCTTCCCCCTGGACAGTGGGAGGCTGGGTATTTGTATGTGCTGGAAATTGCTTCACAGAGGCTGTTGCAGAGTTTGGACTGGGAGGGGATGGTGGAAGTTAGGGGTCGGCAAGCTCATTTAGCTCTCAGCTAAGCTGCATCCCCTGACCTAGCTTCATAGGTAATAAAGGTAATACCGTGAGCCCCATCTACTGACTTGGCTATTTTATTTCTCAGAATCCATCTGGAGAATGGGATGCTATTTATTGGAGTCTTCAAACCACCTCAGTAACCTGAAACACCCTACATAAACTGGCCTATTTCCCCAACTTCTCCTGTCACAGAGAATGTGCTTACATTCCTGCTGTGCTGGCACTACAGTTCCTCACGTAGCTAAACTCTTTTCCTCCTCAGGCAGTCACAAATATGCTTTCCTGGAATGTTCTTTCCCCACAATTGGCTTGGGTAATCTCTTACACCTCCTTTGGTATCAGCTTAATTGCCATGTCCTCAAAGAGACTTTTCCTGATCCCAGAATCAAAATTCAGGGTAGCACCTTGTACTTTTCCTTCATGTGTGGCCTTCTGTGACAGGCTTCTTTCCCTTAGCGTGTTCTCGAGATTCATCTATATTGTAGGATTTATCAGTACTTCATTCATTTTTGTGGCTGAATAATAATTAGATTGTATGGTTATACCATGTTTTGATTACCCATTTGGGTTTGTTTTCATTCCTTAGCTACTATAAATAATGCTGCTATGAACATTTGTGTATAAGTTTTTGTGTGGACACATATTTTCACTTGCCTTGTATCTGTGTCTAGGAGTGGTATTGCTAGGTCATATGGTAACTCTATGTCCAAGTTTTTTTGTTTTTTTTTTTGTGATGAAGATCAGCCCTGAGGTAACATCCATGCCAATCCTCCTCTTTTTGCTGAGGAAGACTAGCCCTGGGCTAACATCTGTGTCTATATTCCTCCACTTTATATGGGACGCTGCCACAGCATGGCTTGACAAGCAGTGCATTGGTGCGTGCCTGGGATCCGAACCCAGGCCACCAGCAGCGGAACGTGCGTACTTAACTGCTATGCCACGGGCCGGCCCCTCTGTCCAAATTTTTGAAGAACTGCCATGCTTTTCTAAGGCAGCTATACCTTTTTACATTCCCACCAGCACAGTGAAGTAGGGTTCCAATTTCTCCATGTCCTTGTCAGCACTTGTTATTGTCTATCTTTTTCATTATAGCCATCCTAATGTGTGTGAATAGGTATCTCATTGTTTAGATTTGCATTTCCCTAAAGCCTGATGATTGTGAGCATCTTTTCATGTATTTATTGGCAAATGGCCCATATTTGCAGCTGAGTAGCTTTTTCAGCCTATTTTCTGCCTGTAGAAATTTGAGAGCCTATCTCTTTTCATTTTGAACTATCTTTTTGGGTCCAAGTAGATACAGCTCCATTAAAAATGTAGTAGGAGGGCCGGTCCAGTGGCGTAGCGGTTAAGTTTGCACGCTCCGCTTCGGTGGCCTGGGGTTCACCGGTTCAGATCCTGGGCGCAGACTGATGCATCGCTTGTCAAGCCGTGCTGTGGTGGCGTCCCATATAAAGTAGAGGAAGGTAGGCACGGATGTTAGCACAGGGCCAGTCTTTCTCAGCAAAAAGAGGAGGACTGCAACAGATGTTAGCTCAGGGCTGATCTTCCTCACACACCCACACCCACAAAAAAATTGTAGTATGCTTTCTAGGGGCCAGCCCGGTGGCGTAGTGGTTAAGTTTGCACGCTCCAGGGCCGGCCCCGTGGCTTAGCGGTTAAGGGTGTGCACTCCGCTGCTGGCGGCCTCGGTTCGGATCCCAGGCACGCACCGACGCACTGCTTCTCCAGCCATGCTGAGGCCGCGTCCCACATACAGCAACTAGAAGGATGTACAGCTATGACATACAACTGTCTACTGGGGCTTTGGGGGAATAAATAAATAAATAAAATTAAATTAAAAAAAATTTGCACGCTCCGCTTTGGCAGCCTGAGGTTCGCAGGTTCAGATCCCAGGTGCACACCAACACACTGCTTATCAAGCCATGCTGTGGCAGGCATCCTATATATAAAGTAGAGGAAGATGGGCATGGATGTTAGCCCAGGGCCAATCTTCCTCAGCAACAAGAGGAGGATCGTCAGTGGATGTTAGCTCAGGGCTAATCTTCCTCACACACACACACACACACACAATAAATGTAGTGAGCTTTCTATATATCAAATTATAAACCATTTTTTGAATCAAAAACTTTACCCCCAAATCTCTTTGAGGTAGGCCTCTTTCTACGTTGGGGTGCTATGGGACAGCACCCTTAAGATTCTAGAAGTTCTTTTGTCTAGCTGTGTGGGTCCACGAGGCACTGTATTTTTGAGTTCTTAACAAATGGTTCTGTAGTTGCTTCCTTGATTTGATCTTGACCCTGAAGCCATAGTTTACCCACAGCATCCTGGATTTGACTTTTGGCCTGAGGCTGTCTCTTACTTTGAGAATCTTTTGCCCGCTGGAGAGGGTGGGTTTTATTTTCTAACTTGGCACAACTCCTAAATTGGAGATGTTTTCTCTGTATTGCCTAAAATTTGACTAGTTAATTATTTAACTCAGCTCTCTCTTCCTGTTTTTATCATAGGTAGCTAAAAAAAGCCATTGGCGCTTTCAGCATTCTGCGGGGAAACCTCCTTAGCCAAATCCGCAAATTCGTTAGATACGCTCTCTGCGTTCTCCAGTTGCTACAAGTGACAGTGTTGCCAAAAGTTTCACCATGAGACAGACTGTCTGTTCTCAAGCTTCCAATAAGAATTTCCCCACTGCTCTTCCAACTCCCATTAACAGCGCACTCCCCGCCTTTCTTGAAGCCACCAGAAACTAAAGTGTGTCACGTGTTTCAGGTTTTTGTTGTGGCAGTGCCCCACTTCCAGGAAACATTTGTTTGTTTTCTCTTGCTGGATAATAAACTACCTCGAAGCTTAGTGGCTTAAAATAACAATGATTTATTATCTCTCATGATTTTGGGAGTCAGCTAGTTGTTCTCCCGTTCTATGTGGTATAGGCTGGGGACACTCGTATTGCTGCATTCGGCTGGGAGCTCAGCTGGGCCCAGAAATTCTAAAATGGCCTCACTCACATGTCAGAGGTCTTAGTGCTGCCTGTCAGGCAGGAGGTCTTAGTCCTCCTCCGTGTGGCTTCTCTCCCTCCACGTGGTCTCCGAGTCTCCAGTCATTTGCCTGAACTTCTTTGCGTGGTGGCTGGCTTTCAAGAGGATGAAAGCAGAAGCCACCAGGCCAGTTTTACTTCCACGACCTTGTACTGGTCGAAGCAAGTCATAAGTGCAGCGCAGACTCAAGGGGAGGAGAAAGAGAGGAGAGGAGAGGTGCGTATGTACGGGCGGGATCGTGGTCTACCGTCTGACCGGGGAGTCAGTCTACCACTGCCTGCTAAACACAGTCACACCAGGTGACTGGTGAAGCGTGTTGCCTATTCCAGGGATGCATGCTTGTGAACAGTAGCTACGCTTTAAGTCAAAGAACGGAATCTGTAACATAGGACTTCACATGTAAGCAGTAATATCTAGTTTCTAAATGGAGGGATGAGAAGATAAAAGTGCTGCTTTTATTCTCAGAAACTTAAATACTTATTAAACTTGCCTTTGTATACTCACTTTGCAGTGTACTGGGAAGAAATTAAATAATATGACAACAGCTTAAGAGCTGTGTGACCTGGGGAAAGGCATTGAACTCCCCACTGAAATTGGCAAAGTTAGCCATTGATGGTTAAGCAGCTAGTAACTATGGGGGATCAGAATTGGCCCCCACCCCCACTAACTAACCAAAGGAGTTTGGGATGGGAGGCCTGCCCCCAGAACAGGCCATTACCATAGACATCTCTGGTATCTGGGTGGGTCCGTGCTAAGCCCATTCTTAGTTCTGGTTACCCTTTAAAAGAGACATTTACATTTGTAAAGAAAATCTCCATCTGTAAAGGCATCTTCTTCCCTGTACCAGGAAGAAAGGGGGGATGGCCTTACCTAGAAATTTATCAGATGGAAGGCGAGGACTTAAATCTGCATGATAAACCTACCCATTGTGAACTGTGCTGTTTAGGCAATATGCTATATGACTCCCACTAGGTTCCTGTAGGTAACATCCCCCTGGAGTCGGGGTCACCATGGTAATGGGTGTTTGAGCTATATTTTTCCAGGAACTGAACCCCTTGTCCACTTCAGGCCAGATTGATACCGCCAACCCATCAACTGGGCCCACTCAGACATGTGTCCAATAAGTGACCTTTTGACGGCAAGAGATTGGAACTCCACCCTCAGGGCACGCTAATGCTGCCATTCTGTGAACACGCGTCCTACAAAGAGGCATGCAGCCTGACTAGCTTGCACAGATCATCAATCACCTCTTCTCTCCTCACCTCCTATCATTTCCGAACACCTTGTCCCTAGCCCATAAATATCCCGGAGTCCCTATTTTCGGGGAAGAGGATTTGAGATTCATTCTCCCGTTTCCACACTTGGCTGCCTTGTGATTAAACCCTCTCTCTGCTGCAATCTCGTTGTCTCGGTGTTTGGCGTTCTGGGCAGCCGGCAAAACCGGACCTGGTGCGGTAACATCACCACCTGTTTGCTCATCTGTAAAAAGTAAGAATGACATGCAAAGGCCTCGCCCAGTATCTGGCACTTAGTAGTTACTCAGTAAATGTTAGTTTTCTTTCCTTCCTTTTATCCTCCCCAGAAGGATGCTGGACGTGGCATCTCCTGGAGTCCCTGTTTTATTGGCATTAACTTAAGTTCTCTTATTTGGACAGGTACTGCGCACATGATAGAGGCTGATGTCCTTCTTCCAGGTGATGGATCAGAACCTGGCCAACCAATCATGGCCCATCCTCCTGAAACTCACAGTGATAACACTCTACAGGAATGGCTGGCTGAAGTGACGAAGAGCAATAAAGGCATCAAGCTGGATTTCAAGAGGTATTTGTACAAACATGTTCAGTTTTCTGGTTGTTACAGAGTAACTTTGGGGAAAAAAAGATTAATAGCCTTATATATCTGTGCCTGACTAACTTTGTGCTTTTATTTAAATTGATAATGGGATTGCCCACTAATATGTTTCAGGAATGGACCTAAGACCCACTGAATTGTTTGCTAAAATTGCTTCTTGGGGATCCTTTGAGGCTAAAATTAAGTCAATTTTTATAAAGGAATTTATCATAAGTGACCATTGTGATAATAAAATGGTATATTTAACATGCTACTTTCATTAAAAAGTAGTCCAGGAGAGAGAGAATTGAGAGAATTTTATTGAGATAGTTAATGCATATCCTACTTGATTTATGTTATTCTATTTGTTTACAGGGAATTATTTAGAATTCTTCAATAACTGAAATATTCCTTAAAAATAGTATTTTGGAGGCATTGATAATGAAGAACAAGATTAAGTGTCATTTCCTTCCCTGTGGCTGACCCAGGAAATTTTACTTTTGTGGTATTTTGGCAGTGTAAAAATTATGTAAAGCTAGGAATATATTTTAACACCACAAAAGCTCACCATAAGTCATGATGGCAACTTCCATGAAAATCTAGGATTTGTGGTAAACCTACCTCATCTCTGAACAATTGAATTATTATAAATTGAATTATCTCCAGAAATTAATAAGGATTTGGAAATCTTACTCATGGGGTTATTGAGATGACTCTAATAATTTGTTGTAGAGCTAAATATACCAGTAAACCTGATTATACTGTTAGTGAATGAAAGAGTTATTTAAAATGGAAAAGCTTTTAGGGTGGTGAATGGTCCAACTCCATTTTATTCGCAAAGAGTGCCAGAGAGGTTAAGTGATTTTCCCAAGAACAACAGCCAAGCATGACAGCTGAGCTAGGACCAGATCCCAGGTTTCCTTGAGCCAGTTTAGTATTCTTTGTACCATGAAACAAAGCTTTTGATCTTTAGTGCTTGGCGACTCAAAGTTTTAGATCTCCTTGCCTTTTAATGTGCTCAGTTTTTCATGTTTACTGTTGCCCCTTGAATTGTTTCCTGTGACATATTCTTTGGCTCCTCATCAGTCAAATCAGTTCATTCATTCCTAAACACTAGTGGCTACCACAAAAGAGCTGAGCCACTAGAAAAAGATTTTCCAAGTTTTTTGGTCATGACATATTTGAAGGGAGCTGCCAGTCTGGCTGGAGAGTTCACACTCTGAACGAGAGTATACAAATAATAACTAAGTAATATATGATGATTTTTAAATTTTATGTGGAGTTTTAGCAAACTCCTGTGTTTTAGCAAAGAATTATTTTCCTTTAGAATGTAATTTTAGGGGCCGGCCCCGTGGCTTGGCGGTTGGGTGCGCGCGCTCTGCTGCTGGCGGCCCGGGTTCGGATCCCGGGCGCGCACCGACGCACCACTTCTCCAGCCATGCTGGGGCCGCGTCCCACATGCAGCAACTGGAAGGATGTGCAGCTATGACATACAGCTATCTGCTGGGGCTTTGGGGGAAATAAATAAATAAAAAAAAATTATTAAAAAAAAAAAAATGTAATTTTAAATGGTTTATTGCAATTTCAAGTAGGATTTTTATTTTGTCATTCCCAATTTCTTAATGAAATTAATAGGAAAGTAAGATATGATACTCACAAGTTTGACTTAAAAGTAACTTTTCAGGAAAAAAAAACTAGTCTATAAAAACTAAGTTTATATTCTTTCCTAGAGAATTAAATAAGTGCTACCAAAGAGAAATTTAGGTAGTATTTTGATCAGGACTTCCCTCTTCAAATGGTCATCTTGACGTTTGGCAGTTGGGAAACTTAATACTAATACATGTAAAAAATTGAGAATGTTGGCCACGGTATTTTAATTAGAATTACATAGAATTTATAGATTAATCAGCAGGGATGTGTCATTTTGCAGTATTTACAATATTGAGTCTTCCAGGCTAGGAACATGGTATGATGTTCCTTGTAGTGTATATTCTGTTTTGCTGTTTGGCAAAGTTTGTCCTCAGTCCTTTTTTTTTTTGCTCCCAAAAATGTTATAGCTTTTCTTCCACATTTACTCTTTTAGACTTATTTTGTCAAGTTCCAGAAAAATAAGAACTACAACAGCAAAAGTTTTATTTTGTTTCATAAGGTTTTATGTTTTTCTTAATGTAGGTTTTGGTTATGTTATTTAAGTTTCCAGTAAGGGAAAGTGTCATTACTGTAGTCTATATTAGTGGTAATTAAAATATTTACATATAAAATGGAATATGAGTTTTAGTTCAGAGTGTGAACTCTCCAGCCAGACTGGCAGCTCCCTTCAAATATGTTATGACCAAAAAACTTGCAAAATCTTTCTCTAATGGCTCAGCCCTTTTGTGGTAGCCACTAGTGTTTAGGAATTAATGAGCTGATCTGACTGGTGAGGAGCCAAAGAATATGTCACAGGGAACAATTCAAAGAGCAATAGTAAATGTATGAAAAACTAAGCATATGAAAAGGGAAAGAGATCTAAAACTTTGAGTCACCAAGCATTAAAGATCAAATGCTTTGTTTCATGGTACAGAGAATACATGTCATAGCTTCTTAAGTTTAATTACACAGTGCTTTGCATGTAGTAGACGCTTAATATATGCTAGTGGAATTTCAATTTTGGGGAGAAAATACTGTTTGCGACTAGATATTATCCGATGGAGAACCAATCTTAAACCGCCCTGTGTCAGCTTACTAAATTGAGAAAGCCTAAAAAGTTCCCTCTGGAATGTAAACTGGAAATTAGTGTTTAACCCAACTTCCACGGGCACCAGATTTCTTAAGAAATCCGAGTCCTTTCTGGAAAAAGAGGTGGAGGGCGGCAGATGTGCATCGGTTAGTTTCAGGGTTTCCCTCCTTCACCCGTGAAGAGCTGAACCCCACGGGGACTTGGCTGCTGTGGGACTTGCAGACAAAGCAAGCTTTGAAGTCACAGGCACAAGTTGCTTGCTACCAAAGAGGCGAGACTTTTGGGGCCGGCCCGGTGGCGCAAGCGGTTAAGTGCGCGCGCTCCGCTGCGGTGGCCCGGGGTTCGCTGGTTCGGATCCCAGGCACGCACCGACGCACTGCTTGGCAAGCCATGCGGTGGCAGGGTCCCATATAAAGTGGGGGAAGATGGGCATGGATGTTAGCTCAGGGCC